GAAGCTGTTACCACAGCGAAAGCTTACCAATGAAATTTCATATCGAGTACTCATTGAATATTGTTGAAGAAAACATTAGAACGTATGAGGCTCAGGGATAGCTCAATTCTATCATATCTGAAAATCCAGCAACGAAGACATCAATTTTGCCGGAACACGTTTACTATCCTTGTCAAGTATATAGCATATCACCAGGCTGCTACGGTTTACGATGAATGAATCAGATTATTTTCTTCTTCAATGTAAAGCGCAAGGACTGCTACCTAAATTTCTCGAAATGGCTCTCTCCCATATCCCATACACGCGGAACACGCACGTTTCGACCAGTCTTGCATCGCTGAGACGCGCGCTGCTAGATGCATGTATCGCAGAGAGGAGGCAGCGGAGATCACGTGTTATACTTTGGGATTCACCTCAACGAGTGTCCTGCAAGAAAGGTTGCACACTAGTGTATGGAGAGCAATTTCTGACAGAAACCAAGTACTATGCCTACGAATTCGAGAACGAGAGAGAAGAAAGCTGCAAGAAGATTGCATTCTCATATCCACAAAGAGGTATTCGGAGTCACATTTAATCATCACCCGATGCAATCGCCTAAGACGTGCGACAGAATCGGAACGGACGTAGTAGATGAAGATATGGAGGCTTTGCTCAACCTAGGACCCTCGTTTGCTATATCAACATCTATAAACCAGGAAGTAATGGATTCAGTGCAGTGTGCCTTCTACAAATTTGCCCACCAGATTCGATGGAGGGAGAATTCAGCTCCGACTGTCCTGGAGATAGGTGTCATCATTCACAGCATCGTACCTTTCAAGACATCGGTGACAGCACCAAAACCAGTTCCAGCTCTGGAGCCCACACTGGCATCACTCCAACTCAACCTGGTGCAAATATACGCAAGCGAGACGTCAGCAAAGTTTGCATCCAATCTGACTGTGCAAGAGAGACGTGGTTTGAAGAAACTTATGCTCTTCAAAAACGACCTTCGATATAGTGTGAGTGACAAAAGTGGAGACTTCGTCGTCCTTACACAATCAATGGATAAAAGCCTAGGTCGGAAGTCTCTCTCGGATAACACGACTTACGAAACATCGTCATTGCAAGATTTCGGAAAGGTGTCTGATGAACTCCGACGCACAATAACACGTATCCTAAGCAAGATTATGGATAGAAGAACGACCAGACGTTTTATACACACATATCCGACGGTGCCAACGTATTATGCATTGGTGAAGACGCACAAGTTCTCTGAAGAAGTGGACTTGCGACGCGTCGACGAAGATTCGATCAAAGTCAGACCAATCATATCGTCATGTGGAGGCCCTTCGGATAGAGTGAGCTGGTTCCTCACGAAGCTCCTGTCGCCGCTTCTGCAACATGTTGCGGCTCATTTAGTCAACGCAGGAGAATTCATATCAGCTTTGGATCGATGTGAGATACCCGATGATGCTTCGTATTTTCGAGCCTTCGACGCTGGTTTCTTTGTGATACGACGTGACTGTAGAGGCAAGCTATCAATTGTGATGAACTACTGCGACAACATCATGATGAAGTACACACATTCGGATTGATGGAGGAAGATTTGCGAGAGCTCTTATTAGCAGTATTGAAATGTAACATCTTCCAGTTTGGCAGCATGTTCTATTCACAGAAGCGAGGGCTTGCCATGGGATTGAGGATCTCGCCGCTACTAGCCATCGTCTATTTGGATCGGATTGAAAGAAGATCTCTGATCACTGGTATCGTATTTTACAAGCGCTACATAGACGATGTCTTCGTTGGTCGTTCACCGCCGATTTAATGGACACGATGCTGTCGAATTTAACTCGCTGGGGACGCGAAACATACGTTTTACGGTGGAACATCCAGACGAACGCGGCTTTCTACCATTCCTTAACACGAAGGTCCGGATAAACCATGGCAATAAGGAGATCGAATGGTACAAGAAACCGATGTCAAAGAATATCCTTCTGCATTCTCGAAGTGCGCATCCACTTTACATGAAGGCTAACGTGATAAGGAACCTTATCGCTACGAAAGTACGGACATGCACAAGAGAATCAGAAGAGGTGGATCGGAGAATAGCGAAGATCTTGGAAGAGAACGGGTACACGACGATCGAACCAAGAACATGGCGACCTTTCTTTGCTAGTGGAGGAGTACCATTGGTTTTACCATATATCAACGAAAGAATAGCAAAGAAAGTGAATCACAGCATCAAGTCGTCGCATCTTCCAGTCAAGCTAATATTCCGGCCACCCGAAAATCTGAGAAGCTTGCTTACATCATCCCGTATCTATGAAGATAAATGTGGCCGAAGTAACTGTTCTTACTGTACGGAGAATAAAATCTGCCAGCTACGTGGGACAGTCTACTTGGTCACATGCGAAGGATGCAATCGGAAGTATGTTGGAGAAACGATACGACCGTTATATGTAAGGATGGACGAACACGCGCGAGCCTTGCGAAATCCCTCGTCTTACCCCAGAAGCGGATTCTCGCGGCATCGCACGATCTTTCATCAACAAGAAGCCCCTCCCAGCCTAAAAGTCACGGTTTTGCACCGCTCGAAGGAAAGCCCATTAGAAAGGAAACTGCTCGAGGCGATCGCTATCAAGCGATTATCCCCCGAAATAAACAACAGGGACGAGCTGATGGAGGCAATGAGGCTGATTGCATAGCGGTTGTGATAAGGAAGTCCTAGTGATTGTCACGCATGTCGCATTCGTAGGGACTTTTAGTTGCACTGGTGGTCGGTCAGGGGTAGGTCGTTAACATATGATGGTTTGTAAAGGAGTGTAGGCTTTTACTATGTTGTATTACAGACCTTAGCGACTATATTGTTAAGAGGGAGCCCAGTCTGGTTAGTACTGATCGTTGGTGCATTGTTGTAAGGAATTGAAGTACTATGTATGCTTGTTTTATTTGAGGTCTGAAGAAGCTGTTACCACAGCGAAAGCTTACCAATGAAAATTTCATATCGAGTACTCATTGAATATTGTTGAAGAAAACACTTAGAACGTATGAGGCTCAGGGATAGCTCAATTCTATAACTATTACTTTCTATCATCATCTATACCTTTTCGAGTGATAACCTGCTTTCAAGATATGATAAGAAAGGAGATGGTGCTATCACTGCAATGGATTTCCAACGTATTATGACTACCGTCAAGAAATATCTACTGACAGATTTCGTTCGTGACAACCTCATAGCAGTCTCTGGTGGTGGAGCAAGCGGTCACAAGGTATTTCTGTTGGTTTTGCCTCGACACGAAAAGTGCTGGTTTGAGCAGTCAACTTATGAAGAATTATCAGTAATTAATAATCAAATGTTCCTATACAGGACAAACGGCACTGTACTTAATTAAATTGGTTACTTAACCGTAAGATCAGAACGGTATGTTTAATCATGTCATTGTAAATGAAAATGCCATTTCCATTTCAAATTCAACACTTTTGAACCAGACTGGGCGGGCTTGTCATAATTGCTAAAGGGGCGGGGTCGGTGTGCCAGTGTTTAAATGTCTAAATGAGTTACAGTCGTTGGTGCCGAGGATTGATTAAACAGAACAGGCTAAAAAGCTTACAAGCATTCAAAATTCGGTCACAGTACAGCCTAGAGGTGGGGGGCACTTTGCACCTTCGCTACTTCCCATCGTAGTGTTCCTATTCTTACGAAAGTTAAGAGACATTCTTTACGAGAATAGACGGAGCGTTTCTACAAACATTGACTGGTATCAATTTGGTATTCACTCCCCCCCCCCTAATATACAGTCTAGTTTACTGCGAATGATAGGGCATCTCAGGTGAAATGAGTATGGGCGCTGGCTGTCAGCACGTTTTGTTTTTTTTGGTCTTCCGACCGAACGACAATTATGTATCATATCATTTCGTGTCAGTCGGTTTCACGTTTTTTTGCAGTTATATGGCCTGAAAACTAATGAAGAACGCAGCTTAGGGCCCAAACGCGATCGCACTGACACGCCTCATCATTTGCAGAGAGCAAGACTGTATATTTGCGCAATAGCAAAGCACAAGAAGGTCACAGAAGCTCGGGGTGTGAATTATTTGGGAAGTGAAGGCAGCTGAAAAGGGTTGAAAAGTTAAGTTCTCACGTAAAGTCGAGCGTGCGCGTCGGGGACAGGGCTTGCAGTGGCTCTTGTGTGATCCGGGATTCAGCGCGCGTGTGTTGAAGTCCATTCAGAAGAGGTTTAACTCTGCTCTTGAAAAGTGTTGAATTGTAAGAAGGAAAACGAATCTCTGTGATCACTTGCTTCGGTCGCGAGGCTGCCGCAGATTGATACATACTCTATAAATTATCAGCTTCTTGTCCATTTTGGTGAATGCTTTGTAGATCTTCTGGTCACTTTCAGTTTCCGGATCTCGCTCACAACAGAGTGAGTTTTATTTTCTTATAATTTTTCAGCAATAAATCCAAAATATACGCGTGCTGCTGCTCGTATAACGATCGTGACTTCGGCACTGTGACGAGGAAGCGTCTAATGTTTCCTATGATGAATTAGTGACGTCAGCAAAGCAGTGTTTTCCCGACTTTTTGACGCTAGTCCACTATGGGTCCAGATCCCTATACGCTCGAAATCCCTGGGATGTGGTAGGCGTGGCTGCGTACTTCAACTAAAGAGTGGCTTGATCTTGTCGAGAGGTATTCATTTGACACAGGTTGTGCTCCTGCTTACTTGCTCCAACACAGAACAGAGAAAGACTGTCCCGACTTGGAAGTGTCGAACAAGTACACCATTCGTTAACACGCTCAAATACCACGCTACTCCGTTTCAGAGATACAGAGAGTGTTGCTCACCAGAACGTTTTCCCTGGATGCTGGAAGAGCGCAAGGCAGTCCAGGCATATATATGCCAGTTCCCCTAAACCACGAAAGAACCCGTTCTGTGTTGGGCGGATGAGTCAACGCCACACATGCAGCGTCTCGCTTTGAGCTTGCGATAAAAATGCCAGTAGCCAGCAATTTGTAGGCGCCAATGTTGAGCAAAGGGAGTAAACAGGGTGAAAGAACTTCTGCCAACAAGGACGGCCCTCTCCTCAAACGGACTCGAGAGGTCATGCACATGGGCGGGGGTACACTTGCTGGCCAATCAGCGGGATGGGCTGCGACCTTATTGGACTAGCGTCTCCAGTTCAAGCCGTTCCGCTTTCTTGGAGTTAGTTCTCGGCATCCTTTGCTTCGGCTTCTGTGAAGTTGAACTACAAACACCTGTGTTTCGATACATTGTTAGGTTGAATGCCTTTCTAGGGGTTCTGGTAGAAAGTCCCACTGTGCCAATATCTGTCGAATGTGAAGTTAATGATACTTCATATTTGACTTTCTTCAGGTCACATTCCCGTACTATGCTGCCTTCAACAGTTTGCTGGCAAAAATGGAGCTCATCAAAAGAGTTTACGTCAGTCAAGCTAGAGGAAATCTTGACCTGGAAATGACCAAGGAGGAATTTTTATTGGCAACTCAGAGCTATGCTCAGATCACTCCTTACGAAGTAAGTCTATTGCAATCAGGCTTTCTTTTTATGTCTTACTCTGAACTTCTACACTTAATGTCATATCCCACGATAACTTAAATACTGTACCTCCTGCCGTTGCAAGTGCAACGTATCTTCGCGTTCGCGTTGACGGAGTCATACAATTCTAGTCGGGAATGAGTGAGAAGGTGTAGAGACCATTACTGCCAGTAACCCACCATTTACCGCTCGATGGGTTGTTAGTCGTTTTTGATACTTACTGTAGCCTACCACACTTGACTCCTGTTTCACATTCTTTGCCCTCATTTTCCCTTCTATTTTTCGCATACTGCTGTCTTTAATAGGTTCTTTTTCCTGCTGTGATTTTCGTACATATCTACCTTGTACTGACGATCTTGCTAGCTGGAAAATTCACCAGCAGCCTAACGTTTCGACCAAATCGTCGCCCTCACGCGTAAAGGAAGCGGTTCTGTCAGTGCATTGTGAACACTACCTTACTTTGGGCCAACAAGGACGGCAGTGGGCTTACTTGGGGTCATACGTGTGGTCACTGACTCTGGGACTACGGAGCTAATCGGAATCGGCTTTGTTTGCTATGCGTTCGCAGACTAAAATTTCAATTTTTGATTTGTACTGTTTGGGATGAGGGGCTCGCATGAAGGCTTTCTTTTGAAGCGAATAAATTACTGTATCATATTCCAAAATGAGACGAAATTAGGTTTTCTAGGCCACGAACGAAGACCCTTACAATGAGCGCCTTGGAAAATTAAATTATTTTGTATGTTCTTGCTAAAGCTCGCAACAAGACAAAAAGCATCCGATCCGGTAGCAATAAGAAAAGGAGAAAATCAAAGGGGAAGAGAGAATGCCTGTTCATTTTCGCGAGATACGGTCCTTTCGCCGAAATGTTCTCTCGGGCTACGATAGCCCCCTCCTCTTCGCCAGCTTCCTCCATTTTCCGGAGAAAGGCGAGCCGAACGAGGGCAGGAGGCGTGTTACTCCTAAAAAGACAAATGAACTCTAACTAGTATTAAAGATGGCTCTTTTTGCCGCCTGCACGCTTTGCTTATTTGAAAGTCTAGGTTCTATAAAGAGAGAGTTGGAAACTCTCTTGTAAATATTTTCCTAGCGCGATTCCATACCTCGTGAGCGTCTGACCTTTGCAAACGTTTGCTAAAGATGGCACAAGAATGTGACTTTACTTGTATCCACCCACGTGGTCACGTTTCTCATCTATTAATGGAGCTACATTGCCAACCTACCGCTCGCTTATGTTGTGTGATGGTTTCGAAGGCCACCTGATCGTTCTTTGGGAGGGCGGCTTGGCCTATGAAGGGTCGATCTTGACGCTAGTCTACAAAGTGCACGTAGTTATCCTTCTCATTATCGTAGAGAGTCTGACGCACTTTTGCCATGAGCTTTGTTCCCACAATTTCTTCTCCTAAGGTCGATTCCCCGATTCGAAGTATTTTTGGAGATTTCTATATATATAAATATAATATTGGAAATTTCGATAGCTTTAAATCCTGATGAACGGAGAAATATTCGTGAAGATTTTTTGTCTCTTTGCTCTTTCTTTCTTGGAGCAATATTTCGTCCCTCAGTTTTTTTTTGACTTGTATTTCAAAATTGGGACTTTTAAGGTCGAGAATCTATTCCATCTATGCGGAGCTGCCCACTCCCGGAAATTGAAGACATTTCACTGGAAAGATATCATCCTTATTGGGATCCGAGCCGTCTGAGAAGTTTCATACGATTGGAACGACTTATTAACGTAAGAAGCGTGCGAGCAGAGAAGAAAGAGGTGCTACGGGACGAGCCTTTTGGTACGTTTTTTCGTCATTGTATCATTTACTATTTTTTCATTTATTTACTTTTCGCTTTTTTGTGGTCTTCTTTTCGGTAAGGGTTAGTCGCAATCTTTTATTTTTTTCAAGAGCTGCACGCGTAAGAGGCTATGAATTTAGTGGAGAGACTGTTCTCATCCTATGTGAAGGACGGTATTGTGCGAGGGCCAGATTAGGGTGAAGAACTAGGTTGTCACTCGCGAAATCCTCCTTACTGCGGAAATTCGCAGGCTACCCTATCTCCAACGAAAATTTACAGACTGGTCTCCTTTGGAACGCATAAACCAGTTTCCTGTGTTTTTCCAGGCAACTGCGAACCTCTTACGGTTCTATTGAAGCTCAGCCTACTTTGGCGTGCAGCTTTAGCGTGTTATATATGGCAAATTTATCATTTTTTTTGGAATACTGCTTGCCGCAAAGCGTTCGCGGGCCGCAGATCATCACCCGAGTGGGGGTTGGAGATTGCATGGCAGACTCCTGGAAGGAGAAAGATAATTACTAATGTGTGTGCATTCGAGCGTATCCGAAGGAAAGCCTTTTCGCATTCCCAGGAGTAGTATATCAGACGGCATAATGCCTCGTTATCTCCTTCTAAGCTACGTTACATCTAGGCGCATAGCTCGAAGGAACTGGAGATAAGGAGATGGTGTAGCTGCGTGGCCAAACGGACGTTTTTTAGATTCAAGCGCGATAAAATACAGGTTCATTATAGTCATCCACGCGAGATAATATCATCATTTCGGGCACCCAGTGAACTTTCTTCTCTGACAGATCAGTTGGTGTCAAATAAAGGTGTTGCGTGAACGTCCGGCTGGTTCCTACGGTATATCCTGAGGACCAAAACACACAGGTATAGGCCTTAGCGAGCGGGCTATTATGAAGGTCGACTCTAGGATGTTTCGGCACTTCTGCTTTTATCCTTGCTGTATCCTCTTGGTGTCCTTGGTACGGTGATAACAAGTGACGCTATATATGAATAAGAGAAGATAGCATTATAAGGCAGTTGCGTAACGATTAATCTCCAAGACGAGCAGGACTAATACAGGATACAGGAGGCTGGCAGGGCGGGATTCCGCGACTGCTGGGCGGGCGCTGCATTAAAATGCCCTTTTCCAGGAGAGTCGGAAGCCCTTACAGTGCGCCATGAAGCCCAACTTTACTTTCCCAGACCGCTTTTTTGCCCCCGCCACGAATGGAACGAAATGTTTTAGACGCGCCTCTTATTGATTCATCTGATAAGTAAAGTTATGAAGCGAACCCATTTGTTTTATTATTCTGTCTGTAGTGGAGTCTATCCAGTATATATAAACGCAAGTGGTGTCTGTTTATGTCTGTCTGGTCTGTGCTGTCCGTATAATATTATCTCCTGAAGAGCCAAGTGCGTTAGAAGGCCGCGTCAAGGCGGGCTGGGTAGGCAAATGGAGCCAATTTGATTGTACTTTATATATATCGACGCTAAAGCTTCTTTTACTGTGTTGGCGTGCGCACAGTTGTGAGCTACATATTCAAAAATTCGTAGTCCGGTTCTAGAAGATCCCGGAGAGCGGAAATTGTGGGTAAGGATAAGCAGTCAGTTGGCGGATGAAATGAGGGAGTCACACCCGTGATGGACGGGGCGTGCTATAGGTGGGCGGTGCTCGCTACAGAACTTTCAAAAATTCGTTAGTTCGGTAGTAAGATTCGGAGAGCGGAAATTGTGGGAAACGATAAGCAGTCAGTTGGCAGATGGAATGAGGGAGTCACACCCGTGATGGGCGAGGCGTGCCATAGGTGGGCGGTGAGTGCTCGACAGACTTTCAAAAAATTCGATTAATTCGCGCTTCCAGAAGATCCCAGGAGACGAAATTGTGGAGGGAAACGATAGGCAAAACAGTTAGGCGGATCGACAATGAAAATGAAGCACAACACGATGGCAGGGCGTGCGCCGAATTGTGAAACAGGTGCGGCGGATAAACCCTTAAAATACCATCCGAAAACCTCAAGGCAATGAGGATGTCAAGTTGAAAAGAAGCACAATTGGTTGGCCCGATATGTCTAGTAAGATAACCGTAGGGAGTATACCAAGTGGTTCGTGCCGTCGGCAATAATTCATAATTCGGTTCCCAAAACACAGCTGTGGCATAATAGCAGTGAACGGTATGTGCCATAGTGGGGATCAAACTCAAGGATTGTAAATTAGTATGTTTATTTATATATATTATCTCAACAATTTAGGCAAATGCACCCTGCTTCCGTTCATCCACTAAACATCCAATACCGACAGACCACACATTGACTATACAGTAGTTTCACAGCTGTTTAAATTGGGAGATACTTGAAGATCTCTATTCCTATCCTACCCTATTATAAACGGACAAGCTTCTCGGTCTGTTTTTTGTCGTGTTTCGTCTGTTGCTGTCTGTCCGGAAATTCGAAATCACCTGATAGAGAGCTAGAAGGCGACGGGTCAAGGGTGGAGTTGGGTTTATATTAGATGTACGAACACACGTGAAACCTGAGCTATAGCCCCGACCCACTGTGGTATTAGGGGCATGCGCACAGTTGTGAGCTACATCATTATTATCTATTATATTTATCCCGTATTGTGGGTAACTTCCCCTTCCACTCCTTCCGGGTCGTTAAGTGGGTACGCGCAGAAGTATATTCGGTCGCATTCACACCCGGATAGAGCGATCGGCCGCGAAGCCGGCCGATCGACTGCCCTCCCTCTCATGGAAAAACTTTCGCCGACCACTTTATTAATATTATATATTTCGGCCGGGCGAAGCGGCCCGATCGACTGACGTGATACAATGCCAGCCCATACCCTCTCACGTTAGCCGCGCTTCATAGCAAATCCTTTTTGTTTCATGAAATCCGTCAAATTCATCTACTAGTCACAGTGACGCACGCCGAACGCGCTCTTAATTTCTCATTTGACCGTTTCACTCGTTCTTTCAGTCACTTCCCTTTCGCTTCCTACTCGGTTTTTTCTAGGCTGCAGCAGCCCAATCATGCGTTTGCCAATTATTATATATATTCAAAACGTTGAATTAATCACTTCATTCAAATCGTGGCTATGCAGAATTAGCCATTTAATAACTGTCGCTTCCATTGGCCGCTTTGTCCACTCCCGCTTCCTTCCTATTTTTCCGAGTGCACGTATGACCCGTGGCGATACGAAAGGGCCAACCTTGTGAGCGAAAAACTTGTGCCGTTTATGTTGTACTCAGGGTTTAGTAATTTGGTTCAGTTAGTCTTTTTTTTTTGAAGGGCTCATTTTGGGAGTGTTGTGGGAGCGGGTGGTATAGGACTGGCGTTAGGTGCGTGTAGAGCTTCTGTTGTAATGGTTGACTAAGATAAGGCAGGGGTAAAAACTTGATCATCGCGTTTTATTCTTACCGTTATCTTTTGTTTCTTCTTGCACGTTTCGAGATGGATGTAAGGTCATTTTAGTCTTGATATACCCAGTCAGCGGCTGGAGTTTTATTGGACTAAGTGGTGCATTGATATAGGTAACTGATTGCAATAGTACGGGGTTTATAATGTAGCTGTTGATGTATATGTGTTTGTAGAGCGTGTGTTGTTGGAATTTCAGAGGAGCGACAGCGGGAACGATTTGCTTTCGTAAAAAGGCTCATGATGTGGCGAAGACCCCGAGCTGGGAGGCTTTTTGGCTCTGCTGAATCGTTCTTCTTCTGATCACCTATAGACCATCTATTGCTACCCACCAAGTATTCGGGATCCATAGAGAACTGCTTTAGAGGGACATTTGGAGCTCTCGATTCCTCTAGAGTCTGAAGGTTTTCGCACATCGACCATCACATACTTCACATTTGGCCAGTTGCCAATTAATGCCGACTTTTTTGCTGTTTTGTGGCAGCACCACCCATATGCGATTGGGGGATGTGTCGGAAGGTGGAGGTTTGAAGAAGTGATACATGACAATCTGGAACGTCACTGCTGCGTCATACAATCAACACTGGCGTCAGCTGACGGCCACCGCACTGCCTGCTCGTAGATAGCCCCTAGTTGTCCTCGTGCTGGATGGGATGGAAACAGGTTCAATACCATTTAGGAGCAATAGTTTTCCACATGGTTCACAGGACTGCCCACCCTCCGCGCATATGATGCTGCGACACACTCTATCCAATTTTTTAGCTCCATTCTCTTGCTCTTGGCAAAAAAGAATATCCGTAGGCTCTGACTATGTTGTCACAGGGCAAACTAAGAGTGCAAAGACTGGTACCGGATTTGCTCAGAAGGGAGAATATCGATTCAAAAGTAGCCTACAGGTAACTTCACTGCTAACGACCCACTTTTAGAGCGATTGGGTATGCTTATGCTATGGCGATAGAGTGTGGCACATTTAAAAGGGATTTTTTGGCACGAAGCCCCTCACTTCTCAGAGGGACATTCATAGCTAAAACCGATGGGCAGAGGTTCGTAACCGCTCTACCTTCCACACTCAGGGTACAGCATCGTGATGTGTGAAGTGGTGGTGTCAGTACGACTCCCCCTCCGGAAAAGGATCCCAGGTACGACCCCCCCCCACCTAGGAACAGGGTCTCGGTACGACCCTCCTCCCTTCCCCAACACCTACCTACCAATTTCCCACATTTTCCAGTTTTTCACCCAGAGAGTTTCCGTCGAGCAGGGGGAGGGAAGGGGGAGTTGGCATATAGCCAATGTGAAGCGGGAAAATTTCTTAGATTTTCCCCAACTTCCTACCGCTTTTTCGAAATTTCCCGAAAATTTTGAAATTTCCAACGCAGCACGCAGCAAATTTCTCTCAAAAGCACACACGACTGCCCCCCCCCCTCCTCTCTCCCAACGACCAAATATGATCCCCCTCCCCAGCGGAAAAGCACGACCCCCTATGTGTTTCACACAACGATGCTGTACCCTGTCCACACTGGTGCCCCTTCTCCCTAATACGGATAAGTAGGATACGTCAGTGGGGAAGGTCAATGGCTACGTCCCCACTGTGTAGGAAAGTTCAGGCTGTCCACGTGGGAATCCGATCCGATGGACTATGCAGCAACACTCTGTTCTAATCAACTATACTAACGCTGCCCTTCCGGCAATCAGTTCCATTTCAGGTGTTGGAATCCGCATATCGCTTCCTGCTGGGTTCAATAGCAGGAGCATGCGGTGCCACCGCCGTCTACCCTATTGATTTGGTGAAAACCCGAATGCAAAATCAACGATCTGGGTCGTTCGTCGGTGAATTGATGTACAAGAACAGTTTGGATTGTTTCAAGAAGGTCATCAAGTTTGAAGGTGCGTCAGGGAGGGCTTGTTTAGTTTTTCAGTGATGATTGCTACAGTACTGCTGAAAATGGTTGGTGAGTCTGAGCTAACTCTGCTCATCTTCTTTAGGCATTTTGGGACTTTACCGTGGCTTGCTGCCGCAGATTGTCGGCGTTGCTCCCGAAAAAGCCATCAAACTGACGATGAACGATTTCGTCAGAGACAAGTTCAACCAAGAGGGCAAAATTCCGATATGGGCAGAAATCCTCGCCGGTGGCTGTGCTGGTGCCAGTCAGGTGAGCCAGAAGACTGAACTCTTGTATGCCAACGTGTTCTTATAGAATTGGTGTTTTTTGGTACACTTCGCAATTCTATGAAACGAAGAAGTGAAGCTAAGGATACTTGTTATTTAGGTTATATTCACCAACCCACTGGAGATTGTGAAGATTCGCCTCCAAGTTGCTGGCGAGATTAAAACGGATGCAGCGAAGAAGGTGCGTCTGCCTCCATCAATCTATTCTTTTGCGTCAAGCACACTTTCAAGTCATCTGATGATTATTTCCTTCGGGAAAACACGGCGCTAGGGCTATCACCCCCGAAGACGCTTTTTTTTCTGAAACGATCATAATTTCATTTTAAGCCTGCGTATGATCTTCAGCTAAGTCGTAATCAGGGCACGCTGTACAATGGGCGATCCTCAGCTAGGGGTCGTATTTGGTGGATGAGGAAAGAGGGTCTACCCGGTCTTAGAAATGTTTTTGTGCTAGCCTATTTTTCCTGTTTTACGCGCGCTATCCACATCGTTGGAGGGGGGGGGGGAGAGGGGTCGTATTTGCTCCTCGCTTCGAGAGGGGATGCATCTCGCATAAGTGAATTTTTTTACATTTTTTCCCATCAACGAGAAAAATCCCTTTGCTTGTTAACTTTTCGCGGTTTTTCCAATTTCGCGTTTTGCCGCTATACATAGGAATAGGGAAGGGATATCAGAGGGGAGGAAACTTTGGGGGGAGAAGTCGTATTCAAAGGCTTCCCCAGCGGCAAGATGAGCCCTGGTTGTAATAGATCAATGCTGGAATAGTAATGGTTTGTAAGTGATTTTTGAATGAGAAATCTATGATCCAAGCCAGACAGCTGACTTCTATATAATTTTCAGTTGGGCGTGTTAACGGTGATGAAAGACTTGGGATTCTTCGGTTTGTACAAAGGTGCTCGAGCATGTTTCCTTCGTGACATTCCATTTTCGGCTATTTATTTCCCGACATATGCACACGCCAAATTGGCTACAGCTGATGAAGATGTGAGTTTTCTTCCGCCTTAGCCCTTGGCTACTGACAAAATGCATACGTCTAGGGAATTAATCACCCTGGTTCTCTGTTCGCATCTGCTTTCATCGCCGGTGTTCCTGCTGCTGGTTTGGTTACCCCGGCTGACGTCATCAAAACAAGGTTACAAGTTGCGGCTAGGGCTGGTCAGACCACCTATAGTGGAGTTATAGGTGAGGAGGATGAACCGATACTTTATTTCTTGGACTACTTTGTTTTTTCGTGTTTCGCACTTTTTCTCTGGGTCTTACGTTCTCTCTCCTTTTTCTACTTTTCAGTATTCTTCCTCCTGCTCTTACTCTGGTGTTTTGATCCTACTTATAAGAATAAAGAGGCATTCTGTGATAACCGGGTGAGCAGGAAAACACGCTAGGGCCCATTGGTGCACCCTCCTACTAAATTGGTCAAAAGGGGGACGCACAAATGAAGAAGGCCCAGTGGACAAGGGTCTTTCATTAGTGAGGAATTTCTTTTCGCTGGTTGGAGGAGCATGAGTACGTGGGGTTTCTACAGCCGAATACCTCCCAGGCTTTCTTGACCATCCATTTCTCTGGGATTCATGAGGCGTAACCACATTCGTTCGAGTATGTGTCCTCCTGCCATGGGCGTCATACTAATGAACTCCAACAGTACTGAATCGGTATCGGATGCGTGGCGCATCCTACAGGTGTTAATGTACAATGAATGTCTTTCGTGTACTTGTTCAGCAGTTAATGCTCATTCATGTCCTCTATGGTGGTCGATTTAGATTGCGCCCGCAAAATCATGAAGGAAGAAGGTCCAGCAGCTTTCTGGAAAGGTACGGCTGCTCGGGTGTGCCGTTCCAGTCCACAGTTCGCCGTCACTTTGCTCGCCTATGAGGTAAGCTGATTTTCAGGTTGTGAGGAGCAGGGAGGGGCATTACTTTTTTGGGACTATAATCGTTCTATTGGTCCGCTATGATGAGTTATCAGCAGAATTCCGAACCAACTATCAACTTTTAGGTTCTTCAAAGAGTCTTCTATGTCGACTTCGGAGGTATTCGCCCGACTGGATCAGAGGTAATTATTTTATTTGCATTATTTTTTCGGACTGATTTTTTTGTTCATTGGGCGCTTGAAGGGTTTGAATCACAAGAATTGGCGAGGGCCGGTGAGATTCCTCCTTTTTTCGCTCACATGATACTAGATTCTAATCAAACCCCGGCTCACTTTTGACTGGGACCTAGACTTTTTGGTGATTTGGTGTGATACTTGGTGGTATTGGGTGATTTTTAAAGATCATGACGATTACTGGATGATATGAGAGCTGTCATTAGACCTCGCTGGAAAGCACAATTATGAATGGCCTGACTCCGCCCACGTCATCTACGTGGACTGCCCCTTCTGTTTTTTTTCTTTTGGAATCATGCCAAAACTATATATTTCAGTCTGCCACCACGAGGAAGATTATGGACGAGACTTCGTTGAACCCGGACCACGTGGGCGGATATCGCTTAGCGGCGGCAACGTTCAGCGGTATCGAACACAAATTCGGCCTCTTTTTACCTCGATTCGAACGTACTGCTCAGTAGGTAACAGTCATAGAGAAGGTTCTGTTGTCAGTCATCCACGTTCAGCAATATTTCCACCCGCGCTCATTGTTTCCGTCGTAATCACACAGTTTCACTGAATACAGAACCTGAGAAATGTTGTAATGCAAGTGTGTTTACGACAAAATTATCACCATTGAGGGTGGAAATCTTGGTTGAGCGGACCACTAGGCTCGCAGGTTGTAGTTAGTAGCTGAAACGTTGTTTTCTACTTAGTTGGTGCTGGTAAGTAGTTGTATTGATCCCGCGTACCCTGTTTCTTTCAGAATGTTCACAAAATAGCACTCAAAAATCTGAACTGGTTAACCCTAGGTCAAAGGGAGTGGGTACTTTGGGCTATACCTTCGAGCACGATGAAGTGTGTTACCCATCGTCTTCCCTCGAATGGACGGCGTCCGCCAGTCCGCCATCTAAACCAACTTACCTACGCGCTTTTAGCCTTGAAACTACTGTATTCGTTAGCGTTGTTAAGCTCATATTCC